CATGTTGTTCCCTAAAGCCGCAGCTCTTGTGTATCCTGATGCAGACATCTGCGCCTTGCAAGCATCGATGAGAGCAGCGCCGGTTCCCAGCAGTGGGTATCTCGAAGCCCTGGCAACAATCTCCCTCCTAGGCACCTGCATGCAGGGGGTAGGCGGGACCCAGAAAGCAGCTGCCCAGCAAGGGGCCAGCAGCAGGGAGAGGGGCCGGCAGTGGACAGTCAGGACGCCTGGCCCTAGCACCAGCGGCCACAGGCCTGCTGCCAGCCTGAACCCCCGACAGGAGAAGGAGCTTTTCCTACAGCAGAAGGACAGCCTCAGTTCCCAGGACATGAAGTGGGGTTTGGAGCCCCTGTCTCTGGAGTGAGGTCACGATGGACCCCGGGGCTGGCAGGGCTTAGTTCTAGAGCAAAGTTAGAGCCAGGAGGCTGGGAAGCCGGGTGGTTTGGGTGGATGAGAGGGGCATGGGTGTAGGAGGTCTCGGGCAGGGCCTGGGGGGCCAGGCCTCAGCCCCCACACCGACAGAGGCAGCCCCTGAGCACCCAGCGGGAACAGCTCCCCACATCACCAGGTGGCTCAAAGACAAACTCCATCTAGGGGGCTGCACTGAACAGGCCGTGAGCGGCCAGCCTGCAGGAGGCCCATGGACAGGAGACCCCACGGGCTCCTAGCACATGCCCACAGGCCAGAGTCTGGCAGCACCGGCTGGGAGGAGCCAAGTGTCCCAGGATCTGTGTTCTGTGGCATTCACATCTGCTCGGATTGTGCCTGCCTGAGCGCAAAACAGCCCTGAAAGGGTCTTGGTTTCTCCTTCCGACCCAGAAACCTGCAATTCCGCTGTCTGGGGCCGGGACATGCCTGTGTGCTCCTTGCAGTTTCTTCCTTCACTTCCCTTGACACGGGTGCTTGACTTCATGGCCACAAGGTGGCTGCAGCAGCGCCAGACAGGCAGCACTCTCCCCACAGCCTGCTTGATCGAGACCACCTCCTCTCCAGGCCAGGCTGTCATGGTGGGCATGGAGGGTGGGGGTCAGAAGCCCTTACAGCCATTCCAACCTGGGTTCTGTCTCTCTTATGTGCACTCCCTCTCTGTCTCTCTCTCTCTCCCCTCATCTCTGTCTCTGTCTCCCTCTTTCCCTCCCTCTTCTTACCTCTCCCTCTCTTCCTTCCTTCCCCCCCCCCCACACACACAACCGCACACACACACCCCCCAGAACCTAGGGAGGTGCTGGTGTCTTTGCTTGCGTGCACTGTGGTTCAGATCCTGCTAGCTTGCAGCACCTAGAACAGCCCTTGTGTTGTTCCCATTTCCAGTGGGAACCACGTGACCTGACGGGGGTACCCCAGCAACCCTGCTCCACGGGGGGGGGGCACCCCACCCCCCGGGCCTTCTCCCTTCCTTCTCTGTCACTTACCGTGCAGCTGCGGGCTCTAGAGAAGGTCCCTGCCCGGGATCACTTGCCTGCGGGTAAGGTCCGTCAGAAGGGGGCTCTGAAATGGAGGGCCACCTGGTCCGGCGTTGTCCACCTCCAGGCCATAAAGATATCAGCCTTTGCTGACTTCTGATTCCAGGAAGAAGTATGTTCAATAATCTGGGCAGTTGTTTCTAGAAGAAATAACTAAGAAAATAAAGGTGCATGTTTGTCCCCCCCCACCCACACACACCCACCCAAACACACACACACACACACACACACGCACGCACGCATGCACATACGCACACACAGACTGCTCTCTCCTTTCTTTTTTTTTATTTTTTTAAATTCTTTTTTACAGTTGTAGATTTACAATTTTTTGTGCTTTGGTTTCATTATACAATGATCAGATACCCATCCCTCCACCAGTGCCCATTTTCCACCACCATGGATAATATCCCTCCCACCCCCATCCCCCCATCCCCCCTGTCTCTGTGGCAGGGCAATCCCCTGTGTTCTCTCTCTCCTTTTGGGTGTTGTGGTCTGCAAAAGTGCTCTCTCCTTTCTATGGAGATAGCTTTGGGGGAAGCCAATGCGTTCCCAACTTTTTTTTTTTTTAAAGGCACATGGTAGTTATATTTATTTTACAGGAAGCCTTTGTGCCAGGCAGGGAGCCGGGAGGGAAATCACCTTGGCAGGTCTGGCTCTGTCTTTCCTCCACCGCTAATCACCCTCAAATCCACACCCAACCCAAGCATCTGCAGCCCAGGGCCTGGTTACCGTGGAAACAGAATCCTTCCGGCTGTATCTTCAGGACCCGGGTGCACCGTGAACTGGGGGAGATGGGTATTCTCCCGCCAGAGTTTGTGCCGGCCTTTGGGTGAATAAATGACTTCCAATTACTGCTCAAATATCTTTTAACTTTAATAATCAGGATTAAAGCCCCCCACACAATTTTACTTAGAAAGCAGTGAGAAATTGGACTCTGTCGTCTGAGATGGAGCTGGACCCTTGTGTGTGCCCGGGGCTGCAGGGAACTGACCCCCGCCAGAGCGTGGCATGTGAGAGGAACGCCTCTGCCCTCTGCGCCCGTGTAGGAGAATGAGGGCAGGAATGGCCATGTCCAGCCCTGCATGTCCGCACCCTCATGCGTGGCCTGGGCTGGGCCACTCCTCATCTCTCCTCCTGGCCGAAGCCCAGTCCGCAGGCACCATCAGGCTCCGGGATGGGAGAGCCTCCTTGGCTCATGCCCGGCTCCAAACCTCCCTGTCCTGTTGCCCTCTCCCTCCTCAGAGATGCTCCATTCCTGCTGCAAGATGCGCCAGAAAGGGCACCAGATCAGTAAAACCCCTGGACAAAGCAACTCACTGTCCCTTCAGGGATTTCCTTCTAGGAACTACACGTGCGCACACACACACACACACACACATGCACACACACACACACACACACACACACCATCTACAGTCACGGGGAGTCCCAGGTGACGAAAAGCTGGGTCGTTATTTGGTGGGCTATGATGTTGGGAAGAACGGGGCCCTTGGGCAGGACCGTCCCTGGACTCTGGGGACGGGGCGGGGGGAGCACAAGGGGAGCTTGGTGTGTGGCTGAGCAGTGAGCAGCGCTAGAGCCACCAGCCTGCGTCACGCTCAGACTCACCTGAGGATCACTACTACTGCCATTTACAAATGAGAGACGATGGTAGGGGCCAAGCAGGGGAAATAAGGGACCCTGAAGCACCCCCGAGGAGGCCGCCCGGACTTCCAGGACAGCAGCGGTGCCTCTGCTGCCCATCAGGGTTCTGGCTGGCTGCTACTCGGCTGCTGCATCCCACAGGCCCTCTGTGGCTGCAGCCTCAGTCTGACGGGCCGTGGGAAGAACGTGGCCATGGGGACAAAGGGATGGCTCCGGGCTGGATTCAGGCTCTGCAGTCATTGGGTTCAATCCACTCACTCTCCCAAGCAGCACCAGGACCAACCTCTGCGCACTGCCGGGACGGTCCCCAAGTGGGAGAAGCAGCATGGGCTCTCACTGCGACTTGGCGAAAACACTGCTCGGTCAGAATTCAACTTGCGCATTCTTGTTTCACAGCAATAGGTGAGAGAGAGAGAGAGAGACAGAGAGAGAGACAGAGAGAGAGACAGAGAGAGACAGAGAGAGACAGAGAGAGACATAGAGACAGAGACAGAGAGACAGAAAGGAAGAAAGAGAGGAAGGGAAAGAGAGAGGAAGAGAAAGAGGGAGAGAGAGGAAGAGAGAGAGAAGAGGCCAGAACACCAACACAAGTGCATCTAATACATCGAGGCAGGTGGACTGGAGAGAGAGGGAGAGAGAGAGAGAGACAGAGAGAGAGAGGAGAGAGAAAGAGAGCGAGACATGCAGAGACAGAGAAAGAGACAGAGGAGAGAGAAGGAGACAGAGAGGAGAGAGAGAGAAGGAGAGAGGGATAGAGAGAGACAGACGCAGTGCCACTCCTGGATGACTCATTCCAAGTGCTCTGTGGGTGGGGTCCCTCCTGTGTCACTGACCCATCCATCTCCATCCCATCAGTCCCACTCCAGGAACCATCGCTCCCACAGCTGCTGAGCTCCTGAGTGCAGATGCCGGCTGCATTTCTCCAGAGCCTCCAGAGCACATGGCTGTGGGTGCTCAGTCCTCATTTGTAAGGACGGGGTGGTGAACTCAGTCATTGTGGGCATTTACCTGAACCATGAGTGCATGGCTGGTGTCCTCACCCTTCCCAGTAAGCCTGAAAACAAGGACAGCCTGTCTGCAAGACCCCCGCCACCCTGGGGGGAAGGGGCCATGCCTTCCTGTCTCACGGACTGAAGATGTTTGATTCTTTTAAACCCCTTACTGAGAACCTCAGGAAAGAGTAGAGGAATCAACGCCAAAAACTCATTTTCCCGCACTGCGACTTCCCTTTGCGTACCTCTAACACACTAAGGGCCAGATGCTCCGGACCCCAGGCTTCCTGCACTCCCACCCCCCTTTCTGCTTTCAGAGTGACCCTGTGGGGCCGCGGCGGTGACCGCCCCCACCCCCAATTCTGCTGGAGCAGAAACAGCGGCCAGAGTGGAAATGCCTTGACCGAGGCATGGCTTGTCTGAGCTGGGTGGTAGCCGGTCCCAGCCCATGGGGACTGACCCTCCAGGGCCCGGCCCAACCTGCCAGCCTCTCTTTCTCACACAGGCACACATATATATACACACACACACACACACACCATACACATACACCACACACATGCACACATATGCTCACACACACGCACACACATGCACACCCCACACATGCATGCACATGCACACAAACACACGCATGCATACACATACACACACGCACACACCACACATGCATGCACATGCACACACGCACAGACACACACACCTACACACACACACACACACACAGGCTGCCTCCTGCCACCATTGTCCGCCATGCTCTTTACCCTCCATCGCGGGGAAGAGGGAAGGATTCTGGGACAAAGGGAAGGACGGGAGAAGTGTCCACGGCCTGGGGTACCCCCGCCCCAGCCTTCCTGAGTCTCCCACTGACACCGCGGTGCCTTTGCTCTGCCTCTCTCAGGGGAGGTCTTCCTGCAGCTCAAAGGGCCACTGGAAGACATCTACAAGATCTACTGCTACCACCACGACGAGGCCCAGGGGGTGCTGGAGGCCTACGAGAGGGAGGAGGAGCTGAAGCGCCACCTGAGCCCCTGTCTGCAGTCCCTGAAGTAAGTGAGGCCTCCCGCGGGCAGGGTGCCCAGCACAGTGTTGGGGGTGGGGGGGGTGAGAGCTCTCACGGAAACCTCTGCTTCATGGGGCTTGCTGGGGGCTCTGCCTGGCGTTCTCTCGGGAACGCTGACACACCAGAAAACTGGGATGGATTTTCCCCACCCTGTGAGAATGATTACAAATAACTGGGGGAAGATTCGGGGCTCTATGAGAGAGGGAAAGGGGGAAGGGGAGAAGCGGAGGTCAGGAAAGGCCCTCCAGCAGAGGGAGCAGTTGGGGAACGGGACGCAGCCCGCGGTGCATCATAGAATTCCCGGTCGGTCGTGCCCGGCAGCAATGGTGAAGGGGGCCTTATTTGTTTCCTAAATCTAGAAGAAGCGTCTACTCGCTGGAAATCCAAAATGGAAGGGGCTGAATAAAACCCAAACCATCTGATTAGGCCCGAAAATCACCAGACATTGGGGGCTGTGGTGTATAAGCCAATGCCCAGCAACCAGCTCTGCCCCTATTCATGGGGCGATGCAGCCGGACAGTGAAGGGGATCTTGGTGTGTGCAGAACTTGGCCACAGATGCATGAGTAGCCCATCAGCACACACATTTCAGCCCGCCTGCGCCCTCTGCTGGTCTGGGAGGCATCCTCGTTCTTTGGCCGTTTTTTTTTTTTTTCTGCTAGGGAGGAGCCTCCCTCAACCCCCTGGGGCTGTGCCAGGCATTGTTCTAGGTGCTGAGCCAGCAAAAGGAAGAGGAGGCTTGGACCCTGCCCCCAGTCTGTGGGGTCACAGAAAGGTTACGCTGACGCTGCCTCCAGCTCCCAAGATTTCCCCAGTCTTCATAGTTGTGCTAACACACCGTTTCAGAGGAACGCCCAGCTCTGTTTGCAGCGGTTTCCATCCTGATCAATTCCTTCAATAGCAGCACAGTCTGAGAAACAGGTGCCTCCTCCCAGGGAAACGGAGCCACCTGGACGGGAATGACCCTGCCCCTCCCGCCTCACTGAGAACCTCCCATCTCCCCGGAAACATTTTCCTGTCCCAGTTTCTCTGCGAGGAAGAGGGGCGCTTCTAAGCAAGACTAGAGCTGGCCCTTCCTTCACTGCTCTCCGTCGTCTCGGGAGCAGGACTTCCTTGTTTGGGGCCATACCGGGCTGCGCTGCTCAGGGCTGACTCCTGCAGGCTCAGGAGACCAGGAGGGCAGCAGGGGTGGAACCTGGATGGGCCTGCTGTGCTATGGTCTGGCCCCTAAGGAGCGGGACTTCCTGTGGGAGAGGACAGAGCTCACTCCCTCGGACCTGTGGTCCTACAGCCGGCCGGAAATGGACTCTGTCTCCAGATGGCCATCAACATTTCTTCATTATTCACGGAGTGTTCAACTCCTGAGAGAGAGAAGTTGGCCTGCTGGGCTATTCCACTGGGCGCTATAGCCCCATGTCATGCACGCCCTACAAAGAGACCAGAGCAAGGGTGATTTGGAAAAACCAGGAAGTCCTCATTTCTGACAGTTTGGCTCAGCACCTGTGGCTTCCCAGAGCTTTTCCTGGAAGCCGCGTGGTAACACTCCCCTGCTAGCCCCAAGCCATTCTTCAGTACCATCCCCATTCGGTGGCAGTTGGCAAAAGTGCTTTCTTAAGAGGAAGAAAATCTAAACAGCTCAAATTAGGACTGCTTCCCCAAAAATTGCCTTTCCATGAAAATAAAGTGGGCAATGATTTGTTCCAGTGCCCGGAAATGGAGAACAGGAGAATTACTGATGCCACTAGGATATTGGCCTCGATGGACCTGCTTTAAAGTCTGCATGTCAGCGTTCCCACAGGTTTGCGGGCCAATGAGCATGAGCCAGCCTGTTAAACTGGGCTGGAACCTCCCCAGAGGAATCACACGAAGACAAGTGGTGATGCAATAAGCAAAGGATCTTCATTGGATAGGTCAGTTAGCTCGAGCTAGGGCCCTTGTCCAGCTCACCAACATGGTGGCAGCCTTCTTGGAAAGTCTCAAACATGAGGGGCTTTTGTATCATAACATTATGCAACAGGGACTTTCTACAGACAAACCTTTGGTGGCAGTTTGAGGGGTTTTCTACTACATGTACTTAGAAGTTGTAAAGAGGACAAAGAATCTCCGGCTTTGGGCACATCTTTTCGGCTCCACCATTCTTCCTGCGCTAACATACGTCTCAGAGACGTGGGCACTACAAAAACAGGACGAGAACGCTATTTGGGTATCCCAAAGAGGAATCGAAAGAGCTATGCTTGGAATATGACATTTCACTCAAGTGAGAGAAGGATTCCGGAGTTCCGACCTCCATCAATGATCAAGAATCAGGGATGCTGTCTCGTTTGCCAAGGTGTCGAAAATCAGATGGGCTGGACACGTAATGCGATTTGGGGATGACTACTGGACTAGAGCTGTTACCAACTGGATTCCACGGGATGTCAAAAGGACGCATGGCCACCCAACTACAAGATGGTCAGACTTCTTCGTCAAAACCCTGAACAAACAATTTGAGACTCTTCGTGGTCCTGGAGCGAGCAGATGCCATTGGGCTACACTAGTACGGGGTAGGGACACATGGGGATGTTACTGGTGCCTGCTCAAGAAAATCGATGAATAACGGGATGACAAGTGGTACAAATGAAGTACTTAGCGGATTGGTTAAGTTGAAGTTGCATAAAGGTTGCATATGAGTCTCATAAAGGTTACATGGGGGGCGGGGGTGCTTCCCTACCTGCATCTGATAGGTAACCCTTAGGTGACCTTGCCATGGCTATCTCACTTTGGGGAAATCATGATTTAGCTCCGAAACCTAGGCCTAGCTTTTTCTGGCTCCTGTATGAGCCTGTCAGGCCGCTGCCCTTGCTTCTCTGTCTCTGAAGCCCTAGCGCCTGAGCCCTGCCCATCAGTCAGAGCTGTCACTATGCCCTGCCTCCTCTGGCAGAGTTGGTAGTTCCTAAAGACCCTTAGACGAGGCCTCACTTCCTGCCATGTGGGGGCTGTGGGCATGGCACGGTGTGATGCAGAGACTTCTAAGGCCTCAGCAGCTAGGGCAGATTTTACAGCCAACGAAGCCTCGTTTTACCCAAAATTAAGATGTCTTTGTTGAGGGCCTACTTAGTATTCATTAAGAGTGCCAAATAATGTGGAAATTGTTTAAAAGTGTATGTCTGAGCGTGGGTCTTGCCTCCTGGGAGCTCGGCCTCTAGACCAGCAGGCAAACAAAGCCAGGTGGAAACATGCTGCAAAATTGGACATTTTAAAAAGTTTTATAATGTTTGTACGTTACCTCCACTATATGTACTGACATGATTTTATGTTTATTTTCTCACCCTCTCTTATAGGAAAATATACATGCAAGAGTAAGTACTTCCCCCCCACTATTAAATTTAAAACTGTAGAGAAAAGTTTTTGAATATTTCTGTCTGAATTAGAAGTTTTCATTTTTACAAATACGTGTATTGCTTTTTTGTTTTATTTTTGTTAGGGGGTCACATTTGGTGGTGCTCAGAGGTTATTCCTGACTAATGAGTTCAGGAATCATTCCTGCTGGGGCTCAGGGACCATATAGGTGCCAGGGTTCAAATCTGGGATGGCTGCAGGCAGGACAAATACCTTACCCACTATAGTAATGCTCTGGCCCTTGCATTTGCTTCCAAGAAGTTAAAATTTCTAAGGAATTTATTGTACCTCTATTACTAGTGTGCTGTATTTAAGCATTACTTGATTTCCAATTTGTCTAAGGTGGACCTCCAATTTAATCATTATTACATATACTTTGCAAAATCTTTCAGAAGATTCATGGGCCATAATTTTCAACCAGAGTTGGCAGATACCAAGAGCTCTTTGGGACTGACTCATCACATACAGAGTTTAGGAATCTTGATGTTTCTGAAAACGTTTCTTCCTATGGACATTTGCCTTGGCGATATCTCAGATTAATACCAGGATTTCTGGTTTCCATAGATGAAGGCAGGAGATTCCTTACCCGTTGTAGTCATAGTGTATGAGTCACTGACTTTCTTTGGAGCTATTTTGAATTGTCATAGTATTGTCTTCACAATTTTCTTTAATATTCTTGCGTGTTTCCTTTTTTAAAAAGCTCTTTTCTTTTGTTAAAAGCATTTGTTTCTATAGTTTTAAGAAGTCAAATAGTTGACAAAAGTTGCTAAGAAAAGTAGTAATTCATTTTTCTCCCACCTTCTCCTAATTGTGTCTCACAACATCAGAAGTGTTTTCACGTGTATTATTTGACCATTCCGGTATTGATTCTTATGACTCTAAATGTGCTTAGTTTTTTTTTCTGGAAAAGGAAATAATCTGTTCATATTTACCTAGAAAAAGATCTCTCTTCTCTCTCCCATCTACTTTCTCTGTATGTGTGTGTGTGTGTGCGTGTGCGTGTGTGTGTGTGTGTATGTCAGTCTCTCTTCCCATCTCTTCATTTTTCCTATGTAAGTTACACAGTTAAACGATAATTTGGACTACAAAACAATAAAGTATGTTTGGATAATCAACATAATCAGTTATGATTACAACTGAATAAATTTTCTTTTAGAGCTGACTCTTGGAATGAACTGATTGCTAGTTTTTCTGAGAAATAATTATTCTCTCTCACTTTTATTTTTTCCCATAGTTTTCTTTGTACCCATCTTTAACACCAGACTCAGTCAGTTAATAAAGTCTCTTTTCCACCTGAGCAATCTTGCCCATCTCGTGTGCTTGCCAAGGCCTCTCTTAGCAGCTGGCCTGCAGCTGTGGACAGTGGCCTGGGTGCAGTGACCTTAGGAACTGCCCTCCCTGTGTTCTCATGACATGAGAGAGAGAGAGAGAGAGAGAGAGAGAGAGAGAGAGAGAGAGATCCTTCAGTTTTCCACAGAGAATATACAGAAGTTAGAATTCAAGGACTTCGATGTCATGAAACCTCTGTTTCCTCTCACACCTGGTTTATAGTTTGATTTGTTATAGAATTCTAAATGGAAAATTATTCATCGTCAGAATCTAAACGTCTGATTACCCATCACCTTCCAGCTTCCACCTTCGTGCTTCTGCTTTCCAGGCACTTGTCTCCTGTCCCGCCCATTTCTTGGGGTATTGGTGGAAGGTTTGTTCCCATCATGGAAACTTCTCCAATTCCAATCTGTGAATGTGTTTTCCCCACGGCACTACTGGGCGGGGAGCATGCTTTCTCTGCTGACCGGCTTGGGTCTTCACTCCGTTATTCTCTCCCTTCCTTCTCCATCTCCATCCTCACTTCCTACCTCCTCAATCACCTGTTCCTGCGCTCTGAATGTTCTTCTGGGCCCTTTGTTCTTGCTCTTATCCAGAACACTGTTTCTGAATAGTTTCCCCACATCATGAGATTTTGTTTCTGCTGTTTGCAGGAGCTGAGTTCTCGAAATGATCTCTTCCTTGTTGAGAGGTCCTGAGACTTCAGCTGTTTCATCTAGTCCCTCTTACCCCGGCTCCCTCCTCCCTTCCTCCGCTCTGTCTCTCTGTCTCTCTGGTTTGGCACTCGGGGACTCTAATCAATGAGCCTTTGGAGGAATGATTAAGTTATGGCCTGTCCACAAAAATGCTTCTCTCTACTCTGCTCACCCAGCTCCCACTCACTCATCTTCTAAACTTTGTTAATCATTCTGAATTTATCTTCACAGTTTCCTCTAAAATTGACTTAAGGAGAGTAAATTGGAAGAAGAAATCAATAAAAGCATAGATGGCTTGTGGCTACTGTAAAATAAATATTAAGTTTAAGGTCCTTATGATCATAAAGTAGAGGAAATTCAAAATAATGTGATCAATAGTTACATGATTACTTTTCCATCCAGCTAAGAGTCTGCGCTGCATCTCAGAGTCGAGGATGGGTCTGTTGCTGTTTTCCACCTTAGTTTTTTCATTGTTTAAATGTCATTTTTTATTTCCTCGGCGCCTGTTTTCTCGTCTTGGAAGTGAAGCTCTTTAGAACAAGACTAGATGCTGCTAAAGCGAAGCCAGCTGTGTTTACTTGACTTTGGAAAGTCCCCGTAAAAATGTGTAACGCAATTAGTGCAGCGGCAGTAGACAATACTTGCCAAAGTATCCGGACGAGACAGGGACGGGACAGAGCACAAAGGAATAAAGGCCTTTGTGACAAGCGCAGCTGGACTGGCCATTTGGTTGTGTCTGTGAGAAGCAGGTGCTTAGGCGCAATCCAGAGGGGTGAGCCTGGTGGCTCCGGTGTCCGGATTCATGACCCCACAGTGTCCCCTCGCTCCTGTCTTTGCCACTGTGTTACTTGTGTGACAGTCAGAATATCAGCCTTACCCCGAAGCAGCTGTCCATGTGGCAGAGGACAGTTGTGTTGGGGAGAGTTCCCACTTGGGAGAGGCTTTCTCAGTGTTTGGGGAAACTTGTAAGAGTTGAGAGACCAGGGAATGCCCACGAGCACTGAGACAGGCAGCATGTGCATGGCGCAGAGGGATGGAGTGCGCACATGTGTTCATGTGGCCACCGGTGGCCCTTTATCATTGGTGGAACAGAGCATACTATTAGCTTTCCTGTCTAATGATGCCCCTTTGCTGGTTTGACCCCTTTTAGATCTCTGGGGTTTTTTCTGCCCCCGGCTGTGTTTAGAATCATCGCAATGTGAGCCAGCCAGCTGTTGGGGCCCGCAACAGCAACCCAACTGCCTGCGATTGTGTTTTTCTCTCTGCTGGACAGAAAACTAAAGGGAACAGGGACTTTATTTGTCCACCAAAAGGAGCCCGAAGCACGATTTTTATCTGCGTTTTATTGCACAGTGTCAATTTATTTGCCTCTTTGCATAGAGAAGCTTCCAGAAGTCACTGCCTTGGTTTGCCTGAAAATGAATGGGTGTGCTTTGGGCAGTAGCAAGACCTGGAACCTTTTCACTGGTGAGCGCTTTGCAGAGCTATAGATGTCTGTAGGCTGAGGGAAGGTGGTGGGAAGGCCATGTATGACAGCAGGTCTCACGGAGGTGTGGGACTCCCAATAATGGGAGAACTGGCACATTTACCACCGATCTCTGTAGTGGGATGCAGAAGCTCCGAAATATCATACATGCAGCTTCTCAGCCTGGTAGGGGAGAGTAGACAATGCTCTACTCAGACTATAATTTCTATGTCATCTCTTTCAATATTTAAATAATGAGATTATTTTCCTTACTTATACAAAAAAACAATGCCACCAGGCAAGTGTATTTATCCTGGTTGTCATGGGAAAAAATGCGTTCTAAAGTTGTTTCCCTCTATTATTATAGGCTTATGATTAAAATTTTTTTTCTTTTAACGTGTTTGGAGGAACAGGCTGAAAAATCAAGCTTCAGGTTCTTTTTTTTAGGAACATCTATTTTTTATCGTGTTTGTTTTGGTGTCACTGGGTCCTTCCCGTCTTGCTTCTCCCTGGCATTCTCTTGCTTTCATTTAGAAATTTATCTGGGGTTAGAGAGAGGGCACAGGGGTTAAGGTGCTGGCCTTGCATGCTTCCATCTCTGGTCTGATCCCTGGCACTGCATATGGTCCCCTGCCAGGAGTGACCCCTGAGCCCAGAGCCAAAGCCCCCAAGCACCTGGCTGTGCCCCCCAAAACAAAAAGCAAAGTACAGAGCAGAAACAGAGAAACCGTGTCTCTAAATGAGAAGTGGAGCGGGTGGCATGACCTCAGGGCCGAGGGCCGAGTCCCTATGGAGGGAGGGGGCTTAGAGGCCGCTCGCGGCTGTGTGTCCCTGCAGAGGCAAACCCAACCTCCTGGACATGGGCTCGCTGATGATCAGACCTATCCAGAGGGTGATGAAGTACCCGCTGCTGCTGTGTGAGCTCCGCAATGCCACCCCCGCCTCGCACCCGGACTTCGGGGCCCTGCAGGACGCCTGCGCGGCCGTGAGGGACATCAATGTCAACATCAACGAGCTGAAGCGCAGGAAAGACCTGGGTAGGTGGTGGGAGGGGCCCCCGATCCTGACACACCGCTCTCAGCCAGGGCTGTCGTCATCATGCAATGACAGAGAGGCTGGTACTAAACTGCAGCACCAGGAGAATGTAAAATTAAGAGTTCATGAGGCAACTGGGGAAAAAGTCACCATGACTTTTTAAAAAGATAAATGTCAAGTGACAGTATGTGCAATAACTTAGCATCTTTATTAAAAAAATTGAAAACATGAAATAATACTACACCTGGCATGATTATATGACATGTGGTTTTAAGGTATGAAAATACCTATTCCTGTACTGCACTGCACTGTAGCACTGTCTTCCCGTTGTTCTTCGATTTACTCGAGCAGGCACCAGTAAAATCTCACAACAAATTGTGAGACTTGTTGTTACTGTTTTTGGCATATCGAATATGTCACGGGGAGCTTGCCAGGTTTTACTCTGTGGGTGAGATACTCTCAGTGCCTACCAGGCTCTCTGAGAGGGGTGGAAGAATTGAACCTGGGTTGTCTGTGTGCAAGGCAAACGCCCTACCTGCTGTGCTATCGCTCCAGCCCATTTAAATACTTATATATTAATACCAAATACCAAATACCTAGATACCAAAAATACCTAAAAGCCCTTTAATTTAGGATCACAATTCAAATTAGGGATCAAAGACGGGGGACCAGGGGCCAGAGCTATAGCACAGCGGGGAGGGAGTTCACTTTGCATGTGGCTGACCCAGGTTTGATCGCCGGCATCCCATATGGTCCCCTGAGCTCCACCAGGAGTAATTCCTGAGTGCAGAGCCAGGAGGAACCTCTGAGCATCACTGGATGTGACACAAAAAGCAAAAAACAAAACAAAACAAAAACTAAACAAAAAACAACCAACCAAACAAATATGGGGACCAGAGAAACTTAAATAGTGATATAATTTTTTTCAATAAGAAGATTGGAAACAGAACATATGTTAATGTTCAGATTTGACAAAGAAAGGTAGTGAATACCACTCTGTTGCCATTCTACTTTTCTTTGGTTTAACCTATTTCAAAGTTTTAAAGAGAAATATTTTCTATCCTCATGATTTCAGTTTGCATAAAATATCCCCATTTTATTAAGTACTATGTAGACGTCCTTTGTGTTTTTCCCTATACTCTCTTCTCTCCTCCATGCAACTTTTCTTCCCTCACGACCTGTGTCCCAATAAAGTCTGCTGGACTTTTGGAAATGGAACTGTGAGTGGGACTGGAGTGATACTTTGGTGAGCAGGGCACTTGCCTCGCATGCAGCCAACCTGGGTTCGATTCCTGGTACCCCATATGGTCCCCTGAATTCACCAGGAGTCATCCCTAAGCATAGCCCCAAACTAGAACAGACAAAGAGAACCTTAATGGTGTGAACACTCATTCAGTTAACACAACTTTGCTTACTCTTTGCAAGGGCTTCGTAACATTCCCGTAGTAAGTGTGGCATAGTTGATGCAAGCGCTTCCTCTCTGAATACACCTTTAGAGTGTTTCCAACATTTTGCTATCAGAATACAAACAAATGATACCTTAAGGGCTTGATGATGGCCAATAGGTTGCTCTGTGTAGAACTCCAAACTATGAGTTTTGAACTTCCTTCCTTCCTTCCTTCCTTCCTTCCTTCCTTCCTTCCTTCCTTCCTCCCTCCCCCCAATTCTTTCTTTCTTTCTTTCTTTCTTTCTTTCTTTCTTTCTTTCTTTCTTTCTTTCTTTCTTTCTCCCTTTCCATACCCAGCGGTGCTCAGGGCTTATTCTTGATTCTGCTAATTGTTCTATATGGAAACTGCATCAGTTTACACCTTATCGATTTGCATCCTTGTCAATAATTAATATCAGGAACATTTAACATTTTGAATGAGAGGAGCAGTGGAAATGATCTCAAAGGTAAATAAAGTTTTGAAAAGCAACCCAGCTAATGGAGGGGCCACCTGGGATCTACCTCCCACTCTTGGATGCATCGAATTTTTGTTGCTGGGGTCTTGATCCTCCATTTTAAAGACCTCAGTAGGAAGTGAATGATGTGCCGAGAGAGAACAAGAAAGAATTGCTTTCTCCCCAAGTCCTCCTGTATTCAGTCTTGTGGGAGGTCCCTGAAGCGTTTCTGATGCCCACAGGGAGGGTGTGTGGGCTGCAAGGGACCAGGGCCCTGGGGCAGGTTTGCAGCAGCACAGGTCGTCTCTGAGGTGCTTTGTGGGTTACGAGCACCGTGGTGGACTGTGGGTGCTCAGGTGCTTTGCTCTGCTTTCTGTTCCAGTCCTGAAATACAAGAAGAGCGACGAGGACGAGTCGCTCAAAGACAAGCTGTCCAGGCTGAACATTCACTCAATCAGCAAGAAATCTAAGAGAGTGACGAACCACCTCATGCTCCTCACCAGGGGGGAGGCGCAGGTAATGTGCTTGTGGGTGGCTGCGGATGCCTCCATGAGTTTGTCTGGGCAGCATCGGGACTGTGCAGCCTCCTGGCTCCCTGCGTGCTCCTTTATCCCAGAAGGCAGGGAGGGGCTGGGTGGGGTCCTGGCTCTGGCAGTGGCCAGCATCATCTCAGCCTTGGCCGTGCCTTTGGTTCCACCCTTTAAAATCTTATTTTCCTTGTGGTGGTCCCCACAGTCCATTCGATTCTGGTTTCGCCCATGAGCAGAGCAATATGTGGTGAGGTGTCTCCTGCCCACTCGCTTGCTGGCCATTCCCTGTAGTGTGCTGTCCCGCACCTGCAGTGTGGCCTGATCTGAACCACTCTCACACAAAATCCAGCAGGGCCTCTCAGGCTGTAACGGGGGGAGGCGTCTGCTATGGGAGGACCTTGCCGAAGGATGGAGTGGACAGAGTCCAGAGCCATTTGAACACACAAAGCTTCAGCCTGGGATTCTGGACTAGGACCTGACGCCGGACTTCGTGAGAGCTGAGCTCCACAGTTCATGGAGAAAGTGGCTGATTCCCCCCCAGAAGCCCTCTGTGTGCTTCAGCCTGGTTGTGTCTGTGAGAAGCAGGTGCTTAAGCTGTGGTTCATCCCCAAGGGGCCGCCTTCTTTCTTCCCACTCAGAAGCCAGCTCTGCTACACAGAATGCACAAATCACATCTGTCCCATTACATATTTCATGTTTGACATCCTGAAAAGACTTCCTGCCAGGAGAGAACCCGCCCCCCTCACCCATGCTCTGCCCCAGGTTGGGCTCTGCTTGAAGGTCAGGATGAACTCAGCTGGGCTTCTTTCTCAGCAGATTCCCTCAGCCCTGCACCGCAAGCGCCCCTCAGCCAGTCCGATATTCCTCCTCCCCAGTGGCCAGAACAGGAATCAGAGGACAGGATTCATGGGAGGGAGTGTCTGAGCTCATCTTCAGAAGAGAAACAGGATTTTGCAGAGCAGAAGAGGACAGCTGGTACCATCTGACAGGAGATAGCGGTTCGACCAGAGCTTGGCCAGGGAGAAGCAGGGCTGGAAAATGGTGCACGGTGGATTCTCCTGCTTGAGGACCACTGGAACCCGGGCATGATGAACCACATGACATGGCCGGTCCTTGGAGACAGCATGGGAGAAGCCCCCATCCGGTTCCCCATTGGGCAGGGCTGGTGCTCAGAGCCCTGACGGAGGGTGGTGTTGAATTCTGTGCATTCCAGAGAGCCATGCTGCCTAGTGAATTAAAATGCTTTCCAAATAAACACCGTGAAGGGGTTTGAAAGGAGAATTCAAGTCTTCACGGAGCTCACCAGGTCGGGTGACAGCATCCAGGAGTCACTGTCGCTCATGAACACTCTCCAGCACCAGCTGGGCCTCATCTTCCACAGCTATTGCGACCGCCAAGAAATACTGTTACCTCTGGTCGTCACCAAACCCAGCTCCTTGGGGCTGCTGCAGGCAGGGCGCACATGAGACATCAGGGCCAGGTGGGGAGGAGTGCAGAGCCCAGCCTGCCGCTGGGTCTCGCCAGGGGCCTCTCGTCTCTGACATGATACCCTCACACCTGCGCAGAGGCACTAGGGAATCACCACTTGCTTCATCTCCAACCTGAGAGTTTTCTAATAATCAGGGTGAGTCCGATCCACAAAGCACGGCCTCCCGCTAAGAGAGTGGTCTTCAGTCTGCTTTATGCACTATTCTGGAAGTCCCCCAGGTCTGGTACTTTGAGTCCAGGTAATGTTTGTATCTGAGGCAGTGCTGGAGGCTGTGCTGGGCCTGGCATGGAGCCGCACATGTGGCCTGGGCTCAGGCTGTCCGGGCTTGGAGGTCAGTGGCAGAATTCGGTCAGCTCCAGGGGCACTTCTGGGATGTGCTGGGCTGGCATGCCTAACCCTGGCATGCTGTTTGGGTTCTGGTTTCTTTGTTCTTTGTCCCTGCTTTATTTGAATTCTGAAACTGCTTGTCAATGTTCTGTGCTGACAGGTGAGAGACAGCACCTTCGACAGAGAGGAGAAGCTCTTCCGCGCCTTAGAGAAGACCGTGAGGCACTGCGTGAAGAACACCTCCTGCTGGCTGCAACACGTGCAGGTGTGGGACCCTCCTCAGCCAGTCCCAGGGGAGTGAGTGTGGCTCTGAGGAGGCGAGTCCCCTCAATGTGAGAGGCCATGAGTGTGGTTGTGAGGAGGTGTGTCCCCTCTGTGAGGGACTGTGAGTGTGGCTTTGAGGAGGTGTGTCTGCTCTGTGAGGGGTGTGAGTGTGGCTCTGAGGAGGTCGAGTTCCCTCTATGTGAGGGGACGATTCCCCTCTATGTGAGGGCGCGTGAGTGTGGCTCTGAGGAGGTGTGTCCCCTCTGTGAGAGGCGTGAGTATGGCTCTGAGGAGGTCGAGTTCCCTCTTTGTGAGGGGGTATGAGTGTGGCTCTGAGGAGGCGAGTCCCCTCTATGTGAGGGGGTATGAGCGTGGCTCTGAGGAGGTGTGTCCTCTCTGTGAGGGGTGTGAGTGTGGCTCTGAGGAGGTTGAGTTCCCTCTCTGTGAGGGGTTGTGAGTGTGGCGCTGAGGTGCGAGTCTCCTCTATGTGCAGGGTTGTGGGTGTGGCTCTGAGGGGGAGCAAAGCCACTTCCTTTCCCCCTGCTTTCTGCCTTCTCTCTCCCATAGCCCTGGCGGAGTCGTGGTGAGGTGCAGCCCGGGCACTTTATCGGGACATGGCCCTGGGCCCGAGTGACGGTGCTCTTGGCTTTCAGGAGGCCGTGCCCCTCGCGCTGCAGACGGTGACGGAGCTCCAGGAGGTGTCCTGCAGCACCGAGGAGGAGGGCCAGGGAACCGCGGAAGCCCCTCGCCGTGCCCCCGACCCCGGGGATGACTTCGTAAGTGAGATAAAGAAGGAAAATGACAAGTGAACGAGGTTGTTGTTGTTTTTAAACCGCTTCCATTTACTTCCTTCTGGTTGGAGTTAGGAATATGACATGTGCTAAAGCAAATACTTATTTCAGAATCTGATTTAAATGGATCTTAAAACCCATTACATATTTTGAGTGGATTAGTGAGGATTTTACCATCACCAGAGGCCTTTGAGCTGTTTCTGGGGGCAAACAGTGTGTGAGCAACCTGAAAATAGAGAACTTCCCTAGTTTTCCAGTAGCTTGGCAGTAGCTCCACACACTGCCCCTGGTGCCATGTAATCTCATCAATGGCCATGATCCAGAGATTATAAACGAAAGCTCTGGGAAGAGAGCAACACAAAATGTCCTGGACTGTGTGGCTACATTTGTGGCACAGGACCTCTCATACTCTAGCCCACTTACGTGAATATAAGCAAGTATGTTAAAACCAAACAAACATGTGCTACTTTTGGATCCGTATTTACAATTTAATCAAGGGATGGGGATTAAGCTGGAGAGCAAGCCGCTAAGAACCCTTTAAAAATGGACTCGAAAGTAGACCATAGGCGACACATGATGGCCATTCAATACTTGCATTGCAGACCACAACATCCTAAAGGAGAGAGAGAGTAAAAGGGAATGCCCTGTCACAGAGGTGGGGGTGGGTGAGAATGGGGGGTGGCGGGAGGGATACTGGAACCATCGGTGTTGGAGAATGGGCACTGGTGGAGGGATGGGTATCGATCATTGCATGACTGAAATGTAATCACGAAAGTTTGTAAGTCTGTAACTGCATCTAACGGTGATTTATTAAAAAAAAAGACTAAAAAGAAAAAAAGGGGCTCTCTGTAATGAGCCCAGAGCACATGCAGACCTGGCCACAGTGCCCCCTCCTCTCATCTGCTGTTCCCTGTTTGTCCTCTGTCCATGTGCTGCCTACCTCGGTTGTCTGCCTGTCACCCAGCCCCATCCTCTGTCTATGTCTGTGACTGGGGTGCCAGTCCCAGTGCCAGGAAAGTGTGCTTCTTCCTGGGCAAACTCTTCGCAGCACAGAGCAGAGCAACCTCCGAGGTCTTGGAGACTCACACGCTGCTCATGACACCCCACAGTGACAGCTGAGGTTTGGACTGCTGGAGGGGAGTCATCGGCCTCCCCATACAAGGCCGTTCGGGAAACATCTGTCGAACCCAGAGCGCTAATGATACCAACACAAAAATGCCACTTCTGAGCTCCTTCTGGCTGGGGTGGGGGGCTGTTCTACTCTCCACAGAATGCCTGAGGCGCTGCTGTGAAATAATAACACCCATGGACACAGGATGCCAAGTCAGACTGAAACAGCTCTGAGTCGTGCCCCCTTCCCAAATATTTTATTGGTTTGAATATGTTTTAATAATTCTGAAATTCTAGAACAGGGAGTTCTCAGACAAGAGTGCCTCCCCTCAGCCAGAAGGGCCCTGGGCTGGTGAGCAAAGGCCAGCAGAGAGGAAGCGCTACTGTGGGGCCCCTTCCTGGCCCTTACTGTGCCAGTGTCTCTACAGGCCCCTCTGAGAAAATCTTGGCTTCATAACTTAACAAGGCCTTGACACATCCCATGCAGACCTTAACCAGTTCTCTATTTTCTTTTTCTGTTGTTGTTGCAATTTTTATATCTTTCATTTTCATAAAGTAGTTCACAACAGTTCATTGAAGATAATATTCAAACATCAATCTCACCACTGAGCACCTTCCCACCACAATAAGAAGGAAGTGTGTGAAGGTTGTTATATTTCATTCTGGGGCCATTTAAACCCTTATAGAAGAGAATATAAGCAAGTATGTTAAAACCAAACCAATGTTGCTACTTTTGATCCAGTATTCATTGCTGAGATGGAATCCATCTCTATCTTGCATAAAACTCTGGTGACAGATTTGGCAAAATTAAAATAACTCTCCCGAAGTGCAGTCTGAAAGGGCGTTCAGGCGGACCGTCTGTGCACCAGCGTCCAGGGGCTCTGCTTTAGGCCCTCGGCCGGAAACAGTGTCCGGGTCTTCTGGAGCTGGGCTGGGGCCAGTCCGGGCTTCCCTGGCCTTGTGTGTGTGTGGTGGGGTGGGGCGGCAGGCGTGCTGGGGGTGGGGCTCTCTTACCTCGCTCTCCCCCACCAGGCAGGGCAGTTCCAGCGACTGGTGCTCACACCCCTGTCATCGCTGCTGGCCCTGTTCCCCGGCCCGCAGAAGCTCATCCAGAAGCGTTATGACAAGCTGCTGGATTACACCAGCTCGAGGCCACGGGCGGTGGGGGAGCAGCCTGACCTAGCCAGGAGGGAGTACGAGGCCCTCAACGCGCAGCTGGTGGAGGAGCTGCGGGTGTTCAACCGGGAGGCCCGCGCCGTCCTGCTCGGCTGCCTGCACAGCCTCCTGCGGCTCCTACGAGAGCTGGCGCGGCTGGCACGGAGCGCCCACGCCGCCTGGCTGCAGGTGAGTCACGGCTGCCCACCCTGCCCACGGGGAGGGAAGGATGGGTGTGGGGGGCACCCCCACCGGGACACAGTCTTGCTCTTGGCCCTACTCCTGACGGATGACACAGCTCCCTGCGAGCACCCACTAGTGTGAGCTCACCCCAGGCTCGCCCCAGGGAGCCCCATTCATGCAGACAGCTGCTCACCCCTTCCCTACCCTGCTCTCTGCAGGGGAACAGGCCCCTTAGTGTGTCTAACTGTGCTGTTGAGGTGTCATTTACACACCACGTGTCCCACTGCCTCACACCCATCACTTTGTGGCTTTTAGTGTATTCACCAGGGCGAACCTTGAGAACCACAAACATTTCAGAGCAGTTACCCCAGAAAACCTGCACAGCAGCAGCATCCTCACCCCACTCTGGCCACTGTGTGGGGCAGGCAAGCGGCATTCCCTTTATTTTTAATTTTTTTTTTTTTTTTGCCTTTTGAGTTGGGCTGGAGCAATAGCTCAGAAGGTAGGGAGTTTGCCTTGCACGCGGCTGACCAGGATTCGATTCCTCTGTCCTTCTCAGGAGCCCGACAAGCTATCGAGAGTATCTTGCCCGCATGGCAAAGCCTGGCAAGCTACCCGTGACATATTTGATATGCCAAAAACAGGAACAACAAGTCTCACAATTTGCTGTGAGATGCTACTGGTGCCCGCTAGAGCAAATTGATGAACAATAGGAGGACAGTGCTGTGCTTTTTGAGTCACACCCAGCGATGCTCAGGGATTCCTTCTGACTCTGCACTCAGGAATTACTCCTGGCAGTTCTTGGGGAACCATATGGGATGCCGGGGATCGAACCTGGGTTGGCCTTGTGCAAGGCAAATGGCAAGCTGCATTCTTGGTAGACACAGGTGCCTGTGTGGACAGTAGGGCACAGAGAATCTAGCAGTGGGTCCTGTGCCTGGCGTCTTTCTCCCGCACGTGTGTTTCCATGTTCAGTTGCTTGTGCTGCTCTGTAACATGCAGCTGTGCCACTGTCTTCCTCTCTTCTGTCAGTGGCCAGTGGCCAGCAGAAACTGCATCATGTCTTTTAACCGCATCTTCGGAGATCCACACAGAGCTACTCCCCAGGGTTCTGCACCCCTCTCCCCTCCCCGACTCTCCTAGAGATACCTCCACCTGCCCCAGCCAGGTGGGAGGACAGGAGGCCATCCTCCTGGTGGCCAGCATGGGACCCATGTGCCAAAAAACAAACAAACAAAAAAGCATTGCTGTTACCTGAGTGGGTCTGGGATATAACAAACTGTTAGGTAAACCTATTTCTAATATTCCCTGATTTCCCCGGGGAGCCATCCATTGTGTGTGTCTGAATTCGGCCTCTTGTGCAGCACCATCTCTGTTCTCTCTGCAGGAACCACCATCAGCCCCAAGTGCTTCCGAAATCCAGACTCGAGTACTGGAAGAGGTTCAGAACCTGAATTTTGTCAAAGACAACAGTGCCACCTTCATTGAGAGGAAACTGAGCTTCGAAAAGAAGAAGCCAGTGCCAACTCTGGTGAGCTTGTTGCGGTCACCACGCTCGCCTCATTAGAGGGGACCGCTTCCTCTGGCAGGTTCTCCTGCTTGGGCCCAGTTTGTGCGTGCCGTGACCGTGTGTGTCAAGTTTCGTGCGTGCAGTGAATTGTCCTGCATGTGTTGAGTTTCGAGTGTGCAGTGAATCGTTTGTGTGTGTCGAGTTTCATCTGTGCAGTGAATCGTCCAGTGTGTGTCAAGTCTGTTTGGCCCTTGGGGCCTGAGCACTGGGCGCTGTGCCTGAGTGTGTGTCCCCCTGTCCCTGTGCAGGGTGAATGTGCGGGGAGGGGATGCTCCCTCAGGGAGGACTTCGCTCCCCGCCTGTGGAGCCCTGAATCCTTCCTTCCTCTCCAGCCAGAAGCGCCCCGTCAGACGGACACGCACCGCTCCCAGCTCCTGTCCACGTACAGCCTGGAGGAGCTCTACCAAGCCAAGCGCAAGTGTCATGCCAGCCAGGAGTGTGACATCAGCCTGCTGGAGGGGGACCTGGTGGCCGTCCTGGAGCAGAAGGACCCACTGGGCAGTTCCAGCAGGTGGCTAGTAGACACCGGAGGTGAGGGCTGCTCCTGTCCCGCCTCAGGGCTGAGCCTCACCATGTGGGCTTGGCCTGGGCCCTCGTGTGTGTGCTGCGGGGTGGATGCCACTGACCCTTCCCTCCTGGCTCTTCTTCCCTCCCACCCAGCCGTGAGGGGCTACGTGTACTCCTCCTTCCTGAAGCCCTACAACCCAGCCAGGGGCCGCCGGGCAGCTGCCGACAGCAGCTTCACTGATGATGACTTTGAGAACATCAGCCTCTTCGTGTCCTCGCGGCCAGCCAGTGCCAGCGCCACAGGTGCCCCTGAGGGCAGCACCAGTGACAGCAGCTCCTCGCTCAGCGGCACATGCGGGAGGGGCGACGCCAACGGCATGGACGCCGCCGACGGCCTCCAGGAGGTGGAGGAGCAGGTCAGAACAGGGGCCTGGCCGGCGGGATGGGAGGCGGGCGGGGGGGTTCGCTCGCACCTCTGCACGGGGCTCTCTCATCTGACTGGCTCTTTGCAATGGAGGGAAGGGTAGCTGAGTGAGCAGATGTGCCCACGCACAGACACCTTGGTGGACACTCTGGGAAGATAATGGCCTCCTTCCACCTGCTGTGGCCAACTGGGCCCAGCTGCCTCCTGGGACATTTCCCAGTCCCCCCTCCCCCACTGCTGTTCTCCCCGGTCAGGCACCCCCAAACTCTACCCCTTCCGGGAGCAGTAACCAGTGTGAGTGGAGCCTGGACCAAGCCTCAGGGCAGTGCTGGTGTTGACCTGAGTATTGGGGCCTCTAGGGCTACTGCGGGCCTTAGTGCGTGTATAACATCTCTCCTGTTCCCACACAAGCTGACCTATTCCAGGAGAGAAACGCTCACCTCGGCAGCCTTTAGAATTTGTTCAAGCGGGGGAGGTGTCACCCTGGGATCCAGGTTTGGGGAGATAGTGCAGCTCCAAAATCTTGGTTTGCCTCCATGGACCCAAATGTGACCCCCACGAGGGGTCACTTGGCACAGGCCGGGAGCAGGCAACTTCACCCCAGACTGCCTCTCCAGCCCGCTTGCTTGCTGATCGAGGGCCAGCCCTGAGAGAGAAGAGAAGGAGCGTGTTTAACGGAGCTTGCAACATCCTGGCTCGCCAAGCTGCCCCGGGTGCAGGGGTGTAAACACCGGCTTTGCTGCTGGGTTTTTGCTTATGTTTTGGGGCACATCTGGCAGTGCTTGGGGGTTATTCCTGGCTCTATTCTCAGGAACTACTCCCAAAGGTCCTTGGAGGGTCAAACCTAGGCTGGATGCATGCAAGGCAGGTCCCTGCCCCCTGTCCTGCCTCTCCAGCCCCAAATTTGCAGCTTTTTGATCTGGAAAGTTTCCAGGATGTTGCTAGTTTTGTCATTGGTATTTGTCGAGCCCAGAGAAGGAAAGACACCAAGGTTCTGAGAAGCCCAGGATAGCGCAATGCTCACGGTAATAAGCGTTAGTAAGAGGGCAATAAATTGGGAGCCAGTAAGTAGTACTTCATACCAAATGTTGTAAGAAAAAGGAAAGCAAATACTGCCAAGATTTAGGTTGTATTTGTAGAATATTGTTCGTCAAGTGAGCCAAAGCTTGACAAAGAAGGAATGAGGAGACACAACCAAGATGCTATTTTAATAATTTTTAAGAGACAAGAGAAGAACCTAATGACCATGGCTTACATGGAATGAATTTTGTAGCTGAAATGAAATTTGAATGTGCTTGAACCAATACATATTAACAATGAAAGTTAGGAAGATATAGGCTAGAACAAGAACTCAACTGCTAAACGAGAAATTATTCTATTTTTATTCCCTTAAAAGGTTAGGTGTCTCCCTGGGAGCCTGAGGCTATTGACTACTGTCTCTTTAAGAGCAGACTGACCTCTCATCCTAAAGAGTATCTGTCTTATGTCCAGCGGAGGCATAAACGGATTACATAAAACCTGAAAAATGCTCAGCCTAAATGAATTTTGGACCTTGGTCATCTGAAATATTGAACATATAGGTGATAACTCTGTATTTTCACAGCTTAATGAGCACCTGTATTAAGTGTGTAAAATATAAGTACTGTTATAGCCTCATATCAAGTAGATGAAAGGTTTTACATTTCTTTTGAGAGAACCAGGGCCTGAGTGAAGGGCCACCACAAACACTCAGGAATCAGCGGCTCAGCATGCTGGGCACCTATAACTGCTTTGATGCAGAGTGTTCATGACTTATAAAGATGATAAAGGTCACTGGCCATGCTGGCGCAGGTCCTTGAGGTCTCAGAAGCTGCGTCACATGTCAGGCTCCTGAAAACGGCTGGACACAGCTCTCCATGGTTCCTGTGAGTCTAGCCAGTGGCTCGAAATGGCACTTAGCTTTCCCTATTAAAGTTATCACCTAATAGCTTTTGCTGGGCAGGGGTTGGGCCACACGCAGCGTTGCTCTGACTCCTCCTCTGAGCTCAGGGATCACTCCTGCTGGGGTGATGGGCTTTGAACTGGGACCGGCTGCACGCAAGGCAAGTGCTCTAAAAATTTTTCAGCCAAAAGTTTTGAAACATTTCAGCATTTATATATTATCTAGTTATATACAGAATGTGGCTCCAAAGGAACATCACTACTTCCAATAAGCCTACCAAAATTGGGACACCTATTTGAGGATTTTGTTTGTTTAAATTTAAGCATTAAACAACATCAGAAATAGCAGCAGCAACAAGAATTTGACTCCTATATTGTTAGAAGTGGAGCCAGCGTGGGGTGGGGTAGAAGGGGAACCCAGTGGCAGGGCCAGCCCGAGGCCAGGAGCTTGTATTTCTCCAAGGCCCTCTAAGCAGGGCGCTGGTAAAGATGGCTGGCATCATCGTGTTGCAGCAAGTTCAGAGAACAACCCAGGATCAAAGAACAACTTCAGGCTACTTGACTATACACCTTGTCCCACACCGCCTGGCCTCTTCCTCTCCCTCACTGCCTCATTTCTCAGCCCCCTCAGTTTGAGAAACCTCAGCTACTTGCCCGTCTTGTCCCCATGCCTTTGGAAATGACACACTGGCCACTTGAGGAAGGTCACATCTCAGAAAGCGTCTCCTGCCATTCGAGGCTGTGAATGTCCCTGGTGTGTAGGTGGATTGTTTGCTTGGTTTTAGGGATTTTTGCTCCATGCCCTTTGCTGGTAATTTTTTTTTCCTAGCTGGATTGTAATTTCTCTGATACATCATATTTATTTAGTTCTTTTTTTTTTCCTTTTTGGGTCACACCCAGTGATGCTCAGGGGTTACTCCTGGCTCTGCACTCAGGAATCACTCCTGGCGATGCTTGGGGGACCATATGGGATGCTGGGAATCGAACCCAGGTCAGCTGCGTGCAAGGCAAGCGTCCTACCCACTGTGCTGTCACTCCAGCCCCACATCATATTTAGTTCTTGATTACATTTGATTGAAGAATGAATAAATGTTGCTAGCCCATTGCTTGATTTTTATCATAACTAAACATTTTTATTATCAGTCTTAGATTTTAGTGGAAGAGAAACTAAAGATTGATTTGGGGATTTCTGGTGTCTCAAATACTTACGAAGTGTTCTCTTAGGGTTAGGGAAAACTTTTGACTGCAAGATGTCTCATCACTTTCAGACCTCTGCAAATATTACAATATTATATTATCATATGGTTTTGGAAAATAAGAAACAAATAGGTAAAAATAAAATTCATCTCTAATTTCATCATGAAGAGAAATCATGTTAGACTTAAGTTATAAATAACTTTTATATCTTTTTTGCTTAATATTTTATCATAAGTACTTTCATAGATATTGTTCTCAGAAAAGTTTTTAATGTTCACAAATTTCCTTAGTGTTACAGGTCTAATAGTGATTGTTTCTGTGTTATTTTCACATTTTTTTCATCTTACAAAGGGGAATATTATTGTGCAGAAATATCTGACAATGTTTTTTTCCCTTTTTGTGTGAGAGATTTTTGTTTTTGTTTTTGTTTTTGTGCCACACCTGGCAGTGTTCAGGGCTTACTCCTGCCTCTGTGCTCAGGGATCACTCCCGGCGGGCTCAGGGGACCTTGTGGGGTGCCGGAGACCTCACTCAAGTTGGCCTTCCCCACTGCAAAGGGATTCTTTGAGCTCTTAGTAAATGGGACAGAAACAACATTTAAAATATCTTTCAAGGGGCTAGAGCGATAGCACAGCAGGTAGGGTGTTTGCCTTGCATGTGGCCAACCCGAATTCAATACCCAGCATCCCATATGGTCCCCCGAGCACCGCCAGGAGTAATTCCTGAATGCAAAGCCAGGAGTAACCCCTGTGCATCACCAGGTGTGCCCCCACCAAAAAATAAATAAAAATAAAATACCTTTCAAGAGAAACTGCCCAGTGGCCTTCAGGCTCAGAGAGCTCAGGCTCCTCCCCAGAGAACTTCGGGGACGGATTTCACCCTCTCCTCTTATGTAACAAATTCAGAGCACATTGGGAAACAGATTAAGTACTTTGACAGATTCAGTACTTCAGCATTCTTTGAGAGAGCCTGGAAACCTTTTTTTCCTGAAACGGCTAACTTCAGAGGCTGGCCTTCTTGCCTTTTGTTTCTTTGTCTAGATTTTCTATGCTGTCCACGCCTTTCAGGCACGGAGCGACCATGAACTCAGCCTGCAGGAGTACCAGCGAGTTCACATACTTCGCTTCTGCGACCTGAGTGGCAATAAAGAGTGGTGGCTGGCTGAAGCCCAGGGCCACAAGGGCTACGTGCCCGCCAACTACCTCGGGAAGATGACTTACGCCTGAGGATGCCTCCCATCTTTCTCTTCTGGCAAGTTTGACGGTTACCTCATCCGGTTGACATGATCAAGGTGTGTGCCTTGAAATCAAGCACCTGGCAAGCTCCATGTGTCCACTGTGAAGGCAGCTCTCCTTGGGAGATGGTTTGAGAGTGGACTAGGAAGAGTTGGTGCTGAGGGAGACCGCCACGAGTCCCCACACTGGGGTCTTCCAAAGGGAGCTCTACAGAGGGTTGTGTATCCTTAGCACTCTCAGGTGGGGCTCAGGATAAGAGGTTTTCAATTACTGTATTTTTAAAATTTGGTTTGAATTTGGGGTCACACCCAGCGATGCTCAGGGTTAGCTCCTGGCTCTGCACTCAGGGATCACTCCTGGCAGCCCTCAGGGAACCATATGGGATGCTGGGGATCGAACCAGGGTCAGCAGCATACAAGGCAAATGCCCTCCCCAGGATACTATCACTCCGGCCCCACAATTTTCTGTATTTTGCTGTATTTTTGTCTTCAATGTTTTTGCTTCTGTCTCTTGTGCATGCGTGCGCGTGCGCGCACACACACACACACACACACACACACACACACACACACACACACAGTGATGCTGCACAGACTCTCACAATGATATGCACTTCCATAAATAAGATCGATTCATGTCTGCAGAACCCTGGGAGGGTACTAAACATGCCTGAGAAGGGAAACTGATGAGCCAGCCACCAGCGGGTCTCTGTAGCAGGCTTTGCTCTGAGAGTCGGCCAGGTGCGCTATCTATCCCTCCTGAAGCCGAGCAGCTCACATGCGCTTTCTATGTGGAATATTCTTGATGGAGACATACTGAGGAAGCTGGGACTTGGAGGTGGAATAACGTACCCCAAGCCCAGTGGCCCAGAGGGCGACTGGCTCAGAGCCAGGGCTGGTGCTCGGGCTGGTGCACACAGTAACTGTCCCCATGCTGTGGCCATGTGCTCAAGGTGCAGATGGCTGAGCGGGTCCTGGAAGGAGGGCACCTGTCTCGCTTTCAGCTGACTGGCCCGGCTCCACCCCTTCAGGAGCGATCACTGAGGGCAAAGCCAGGAGAAGGCATGTCCCCAAAACAAAACAAACAAAACGTCAAGGGCTCCCAGAACCTCCATGATGTTAGCTAGCTAGAGAAGAAGTATCTAGGTGCACTATTTTTACATTTTTATTTTTATGGCTATTTCCCGGACATTTTTGAAAGTGAAATTGTTAAGAAACTATCTTACAAATTTGCTAATGACACTTTGATGAGGAAATATTTTTGGATCACTCAATCATTTGGATGATGAAGGGGGAATGTGTGTTCTGAGCCAAGATGTAAACATTTTCAGTTGCCAATTTGTAGTGACACGGGCAGACCCGGAGAATAATATTTGCTGTAACACAGTGTCCTGGAACGCTGAGCACTGATTTAGGAATAAATAGCTCAGTACTGTCCACTTGAGGACGTGAGGCATATTTTGTGAAGATATTTCATTGAGCCAAAGATGCATCTTGGGAACAGAAAAAAGAAAAGTTAATACAAGATTTCACAAGGTTCTACTGGCAAAACTTTTGCATAAGAAAATTTGTCTTGAGAAGATTCTGGATGTACAGGGATTTTAAAAATGCCTTCTAAATACTCTTTTTCATAATGGAAGCATTCCTAAGATCCCTTTGTCTAGGGTGGAGCAAAGGGAGGTCCAAGTGGCTAGTGGTGGGAACTTGCCTACTCTTGTAGCATGTTTGTGTATGTGTGTGCATACACAATGCACATGCGTGTGTATCTGTACATGAGTCTAGACATACACATTACACTTACATGCAGATAATTTAGTGCATTCTGGTCTAAGTGCTCCCTTGTAGAGGAAGAATAAAAAGCCACCCTTGAGCTGCTTTCCTGTCTGGAGTGTGAAACTTTGCCTGCGTGTAGGCTGAGGGTTGATGCTCCTTGCCTGGTCTCTGCATGGACCCCAGCAGCCCCCCAGAGCTGCGGTTACCCGTGAGCAGGAGCCCCAGGGAAGCTGTGACACCAGGCCCATGGAGGACACACACATTCCAGATGCCACAGGCCTTACAAGACCCTCTGCGCTCTCAGCCTCTGAGTATCTTGGGAGAAGTCAAGTACTTGTGACTCTGAGATTAGACATTGTTCTACTGGATATCAGGGAAATGTGCTTCCGTTTTCAAGAAGTTGAAAAAGATGCAACTATTGGTAGCACCCTGTAACAAGGTGAAGTACACTAAGGCAATATTTAAAAAAATTAAATGTTATTTTACAATATTGTATTCTCTGAAATTGGTACTTTTACCAAGAATGAAGGGAAGTTTGTGGTTCTTTTTGTATAACAAGAAATAATGTATGTATACATTTTACTATTTATTTTAAGCACATCAGATGATCTAAATTAATATTACACAATAAAGTTTAGAGATTATTTAAAAATCCAGTTATACAAATTACCATGGGTGCTTGACTCATTAAAAAGTCATAAAGCCACTGTTTGACTGTTCCTTATATTGCAGAGAAATAGCTTGATTTAGTAATCACTAGTATGACACAATCCTTTGCTAATTACATTGTCTAGAAGAGAGGAATACGCGTTGTTAAACACGCAGCATTGCACAGAATACTTTAAGTGAAGGACACTTCGTGTTCTGCCCCGAACACAGGACTTTCAGAGGTGGCTGCAAGTGCTGTCATTGTGATGAATATTCAGGTGATTTACAAAATTTAATGTTTTCTTTGACTTGGAGCACTTTCCCCACAAACTTGGATTTTTGTCTTTTTGAAAAAAGTCTCTTAAAGCCAAGTGAATAAAGAGATCTGAATATTCTAAAATGCCAAGGAAGCCTGATTATTTAAACCTTGTTTATCATCACAGATTTCACTGCTCAGTACTGACTATATTCAGTCATCACAAAATTCAAACTAAACTAGAGATAGAATTCACATTCCAGTTGATGCAATGATTACATTTCACTGGCTGGAAGGACACTGGCTCTATGTGAAGGATGTATTTATGAACTTGCAGCTCTGAAGTCACTGGGGTGGGCCTGTGACTCGCTGGCAGGGTACACTCACGCCTCCCATGTAGGAGCCTTGGGCTTGGTCCTTGGCACCCAAAACAACAGAACAACAAAGCCCCACTAATTGTTGCAGCTGCCTCCCCACCACCCGCACTAGTGGTCTCCTCTTGGTGCCTGGCAATGCCTTCCCACATCACACTGCAGACACAGTGAAACTTAGGCCCAAATGTCCTTCAGACTCTAGCACATGTGTTCCTACCAGCACTATGGTACATGTGTGTACTGGTGGCTTTCCCCAGGTGTTGTGAAATTTTTATTATTGTATTAATAAAAGTTATTTTTGTTAACACAATGTCTCCTTTGTAACCTCTGGCCCTCCTGATGGTGCAGCTTTTATCTCAGTGACTAAGAAGTACCACTCGCATGTCCTTATGAGTTCAGAGTCAGATGCCTTACGTTTCAGCTCGCCACTTGTCATCTCTGGATCTGAAAGGAGGAAACCGAGGCATGCTTGGCTGAGGAGCAGAGGACCAGGACTCTGTCTGGAGGCCAGAGTTCACTCAGCCCGCCCGCCCTCCCTCCCTCCCTCCCTCCCTCCCTCCCTTTCTTCTCTTCCTTCTTCCCTCTATCCCTCCCTTCTCACATCTCCCTCTCATCTTCTCTCCCTCTCTTCCTCTCCCCTCCCGGCTCCCTCCTTCCCTTCTCCCTTCTTCTGAAGGCACAATATGCAAACCAGGAAAGTGACACTGCCAGAATCTCTACGAAATGGGCTTCAGCCTTTCAAGTTTTATTTGCTGCTCATTTATCCATTCACGGAGTGGCTGAGTGGGGCTGGCAGGGCTCTGCAGTGGAGCCCATCCCTGCCCTGGTGGAGCAAACGAGGACTGATCTTCTCAGCAGCGCAGCAGGGAGCTGAGGGGCGGGCCGGGGTGAGCTTGATGAGCTGGGCAGGGGCCCTCCCGTGGGCACACAGGGCAGTGATGTTCTTGGGTACGCGTTTGTCCCCGCAAACAGCATGATCCACGGAAAACTCCTCCCCAGGAAAGCTCCCCCTCAAGCCGTCAGAGGTGCTTGAAGCCCTGCAAAGGAATCTGCATCTGTCCCATGTGGGACATGAGGGTCCTGCAGCTCCTCCTGCTCACGGCATGGAGGGTCCAGGTGTGGCCCGGCTGCCATTCTGTCCAGTTTTACTCCAAACTGGCCTTCCCTCATCTGCAAACACAGAACGATGAATTTTTTTGTCTTTCACACTCAAGGGAATTTAAGTTTTATGCCAAATCAATGTTTAAGCAACAGAATTCTGTTTCTCAAAACAAAAAGATCTGCAAGAAAATTTTTTTTTTCCCCCTTTATTTTATTTTATTTTTTTTAAAGTTGTAGATTTACAATTTAGAAAATTTTGAACACATAAACTTTTTTTTTGGTATGTGAGAAATGGGATGGTTTCAATCTTGAACACTCATTCACCACGACTAATTCGGAGCCATTATTCAACAGAGGAGTTAGTGCTATCCTCAGAAAAAGCCCAAACTCGGTCTCCTGTTTGTTCTGGGGGCTGCCCCTGGTGGTGCTGGGGGGGAGGAGACAGGACTGGGTCCCACCCAAGCCTCCCCATCCAGCAGAGCCCCCCAGGGCATGGCCCAAAACCAAGCCCAGTCTGGCACAGGCGGGACTGAGAGGGGGCAAAGCCCCCGGGAGGCTCCGTGTGCCAAGGGGAGTGGGGAATTGTGCAGAGCCGTGGGGGGCGGGCTTGAGGGGCCGCAGGGATGATCTCGCTCACCCTTTGGCGCTCCCTCCTCCCGAGCACTGTACAGCATGAGCATACTGTACAGCACCATACAGCACAAGTATGAGTCTCCTGAGGAAGGCTTTTATTACGAGACAGAGATGACATTCCCATCCCGTGTGAAACTGGATCGGGGGCGCTGGGGGGCATGGGGTGGGGGTTGGCGTGGGGTCCAGCTGCCTGGCGCTACTTCTTGA